TTCGCAAATCTTGTGTGATCAAACCAAGGCGAAATGCTCCTAAGAGGTACTATTCCCTTATCTACCGAAACCTTAGCATGTATGACCACATCGGATTGAAACTTGAACATAAGCTCACCCAATAGTAAAAAGACAGAAAATTTTTTGAGAGGAAGAAAGCTGAGAAAGAAAGTGGTGTTGTCTCTTATTTGTTTTCTCATTATTAGATCCTTTTATAGGCCAAAACATACCCATTTTGAAATACCAAATAAGAGTTTTAGCCTAAAGGATTTCTCACATCAGAAAATTCATGCTTACAACACCCTATAAAACTGTGCAATGTATGATTACTTTCATTTTACCACTCAACAGTCACTGAGGAGGTGGACTGCCATGGTTTTGAGACTATTGACCAGGGGTAGAGGAAGAAGACGATGATGTATACGTTTGTTTTAGGTGGTGGGAGTGAGCTAGATTTTGTAATAATATTTCACTTTTAATTTTAATGAAATTTTCAAAAGCCAAGCGATTTACGTGTTGGTTTGTTAAGGTTACAGGTTGCTTGTTATGGTTACGCGTTGGTTGTTAAGGTTACGTGTTGGTTGTTAAAGTTATACGCGTTGGTTGTTAAGGTTATGAGTTACTTGTTAAGGTTACATGTTGGTTGTTAAGGTTACGGGTTGCTTGTTAAGGTTACGGTTAGCCTTAACAACCAACGCGTAACCTTAACAAGCAACTCGTAACCTTAACAACCAACGTGTAACTTTAACAAGCAACTCATAACCTTAACAACCAACGCATATAACATTAACAACCAACGCGTATAACCTTAACAACCAATACGTAACTTTAACAAGCAACCCGTAACCTTAATAAGCAACTCGTAACCTTAACAACTAATACGTAAATAAAACCACTTGGTTTAAGAGTAAAATCAGGGGATTGAAGGAAAAAACTTACAATCAAGCAAACACTCTCAAAAAATTTTCTAACATCTTCATACGTATTACAAATACAATACATTGTCTGCAAGCAGATCCACTGAAAAGTCTTCCATCATTGTAGCCTTATCTCTTTTAAAAAATTCCTCAAATAAGTGGTTATCGCATGAACACTCACCCAAACATGAGTGGGGAGTTTCTTCCTCAAATCCACTTCCACACGGACATACGCTGGACTGCCTCTCATCATATGGGCAATAGCTCGATCGAAGGTAATCTCATCATCATAAGAGTCACCATATAACTATGATATCAAACTATATAATAGTATATCATGAATCCAAGGAACCCATGATAAATTCCTCTTTCAATCTCATGAATTGATAGCAAAATAACAATTATCCCAAATAGATTGACTAGGTAAGAACTTAGTCGCCACAAGATCTAGTGTGCCTGTGGTGCTGCATAACTAATTATTTGGGATTAGGAATTGAGGGAGGGGGGCGATGGAGCTGAGGGATGGAGAGGGGGGTTTGATGTGGCGTCTGGGGGAGGAGGGATTAGGTTGGGGACGGAGGTGAGGGGGATCGGCGATGGACATGGCGGATCTCGACGAGCGGAGGCGAGGGGTCGAGGCGCGAGACTGGAGAGGAGCTTCGGTCGCCACGAGGGTTGCGGAAGGGACGGAGGGAGCTAGGGCAAAAATGATGGGGGAAGGAGGAGGGAGAGCGGAGGGATTGCATGGTTAGATAATGAGAGAATGAGTATTATAGTCTTTACCTGTGTAAAATTCTTGGGTTTCGTGTTTTGGGGGCTCAGAGCATAGTTATTACGAATTTGGGAGGTTTTTAGAGCGTTGAAAAAGTCTTGGGGGAAGCATACTTGTTACGAATTTGGGGGCTGGAAGTATTTTTTCCCTTGATTCTTTTATGACAGATGGCATGCACGTATGCACTGCACGTAGTCAAATATTATAATTATTTACTTTAAGTTTATTTATTTACTATAACATGGTTGTCAAAAACTTTATAATTATCATAATATATTTAAAAAAATTTGGATATTTTCACGTGTGATTTTAAAAGTCAATCCATGTTATCCAGAAGCCAGATGACCCTACTTATTTCAATAGATACAACAAGGTCAAAAGGATCCAAAACAAGTATTTCATCTTTCCACCTAATCTTTCTAAACGTGCTCTTTGATAGTTATATCGACAAACCACCACAGAATAGAAGAAAACGAAAACATGAGATAACATGATGCAAATAAAGGACCAGTTATTGAGAGAGGTTTGTAACTCCTTGATCAAATCATTTCATTTAACAAACTAATATTTGCTTGTGTTCAACTACCAAATTACTAAGATGGCAGTTGAAAATTCCTTTAAAAAAAAAGAAAATACTACAAAAGGTGCTGGATTACAGGCTAACTTGTATAAGAATAAGATCCGCTGACCATTTACATCCAGGCAACCAATTTAAATCTCATCAACCAACAAATTCAGCATCCATGTTTTGTAGTAAAAATATGAGTAGTACAAAAAGTAATCACGTGATCCAATCAGAACAGAAGACTACCGAAGCAGCATCAATAAACAGATCAAAAGAAACCGATCCAGATCCTGACTCAATCAAAGTAAAACCCTAGATTCAGTCAAGAACTTACGCTGATCCTTGGTTGTAGATGTCGACCGAGACCGTGACGCGCTCCATCCCGGACTTCTGCCGAGCGAGGCTGACCTTCTTGTGCGCCACGATGAAAGGCCCGTCGGAGATCGCCAGCGATGGGGAGACGGTGAGGAGGAGGGAGATGACGAAAGAGAGGAGAGCGCTGGATCGCGATCTCGCCATTGCTAGGGCTTTCTCAGAGCCTTCTCTCTTGACTCGCTCAAGATCTGAGGTCTCAGTGAAATTGGGCGGAGAAAATGATAAAGCGGCGGTGAATTTGTGCATTAAATCGAGCAGCATCCAATGGGAGTGCAGTTTGCCGCTGGCAAACGGGTATGTAAACGGCCAATGGGCTAGTGGGCTGGCCCTAGAGCGTACATTGGTCCTTTTGCACAATTTCTTCTAATTTTTATTTAAAATTTAGGCAATAATCTCACGAAAATCAGTAGAATACTCTTTCTTTTCCCCCTTTATTAAAACGCAACGTTGTTTGATTCTTTGGAAAAATGCTTCCAGCCCCCAAATTCATAACAAATATGTTTCCCCCCACCTCCCAAGACATTTTTAACGCTCTAAAAGCCACCGAATTCGTAATAACTATGCTCTAAGCCCCCAAAACACAAAGCCCAAGAATTTTACACAGGTAAAGTCTATAATACTCATTCTCTCTCTCTAACCATGCAATCCCTCCGCTCTCCCTCCTCCTTCCCCCACCATTTTTGCCCTAGCCCCCTCCGTCCCTTCCGCAACCCTCGTGGCGGCCGAAGCTCCTCTCCGGTCTCACGCCTCGACCCCTCGCCTCCGCCTCCTCCCACAGACGCCACATCAACCCCCCCCCCTTCCATCCTTCAGGTCCATCATCCCCCTCCCTCAAGTCCTAATCCCAAATAATTAGTTATGCAGCACCACAGGCACACTGGACTACTGCAACTGCTACAACCTTCATGTATCTTCTTTATAAGCCAAGAAACATAACATTAACCCTCATTATCCACCCCCACCTTGATAGAGTTTTAACCAGGTCATGAAGCTCAGGACCTCAACCTTAACCTGTCCCTGCAGCCCGGGCCTCGTCCCGAGCACGCATGAGTTTTCTCGTGTAACTATTGTCGACGGACTTTTTATAGCGCCCAAGCTCTTGGAGGACACCAGAACGCACACAAGCTGGAGCGCAACCTAGCGAAGAGGAGCAGAGAGATGGCTAATGATATCCGACTGCGCTCAACATCGAATGCGGACAGCAAGGGATCTGGTGACAGCTGGCTAAGTAATCCATCGGGGATGGAGAGGGGGAGGGAGGATTATTTGTGTGGTGTTGGTGGGAAGTTTCAGCGGAGCTCGAGCCAGAGGAAAGAAGGGGCGACTGCTAATGCAGTAGTTGTTGGCCTCTTTGTTTTGATGATGTTTAACAAACAATTTACCACTAATGTTGTTTGTCTAGTATTCGTGTTTTCTTATTTATTGTAGACAAACAATATGTTGGAGGATGGATAGAATCGAGCTTTCACGATCATATCCAATGGAGGTTGGCGGAATAGTGGAGTGAAGCAATGCAATTCAAAGTTCAAGATCCAAGTTCAAGCTTCTTCCGCAAGTGTACCAAGTCAAGCTTATTGAAGATCAAGATCAATCTTGGGTAATTTAGTTTAGGTTTATATATTATGTGTGTTGGTACTCTAAGCTCAATCATATACACACATACACGTATTTGGTTTTATATATATATATATATATATATATATATATAGTCATATATATATATATAAAAGTTTTGATTTTCAAGTTTAAATATGAAACAAATACATATTTATATATATACATGTTTTTTTCATATGGTTAAGTTGTTTTGGTTTAGTTATGTAGATATGAAACAATATATATCTTCATATACACTTTTGTTTATTTTATATTCTATTGTATTTAGAAAAATATTGTGTTTATGGATTAAAGACTTGTTCACACTATTTTCATATCTCGTATAATGTCTAAAAATTCATTCTAAAGTGTTTCCAAGTTGTTTGAACTCGTTTTTGGAAAAATCAAGTTTTTTGTTCATGTACGTGCATGTGTCCGTGCATGTTTTTACAAAACAGATACGTTTTCACAATTAGGAAATGCGATTTAAAAAAAAATTCATTTACATGTTTATAATCATATATATAAACATTTTCCTAAGTTTTACTAATTTTGGAGTTGTTTTGTTATTTTCAATTGAATTTACAAAACCGAGTTTTTAGCAGTTTTTCAAAAACTATTTATCTGTGTTCAAATATTTATTTCTATCAACTGGGAAGTTATTTTTCCGAAATTATTTCTCTATAATGTTTATCTACATGTCTAGAACATTTCCTCAAAATTTTATAATTTTTGGAGTTGATTTACTATTTTTAATTGATTTTATAAAATTAGATATGTAAATTTCCAGAATCTGTCAAAACCTGAAATTGTTTGTGCACGTTGCTACGGTGCGGTCGACCGCCACGGTCGACCGTACGCAGTCCAGAGAGTAGTTTTTGAGTTTTTCTTCTCACGGTCGACCGCGACGGTCGACCGCGACGGTCGACCGCCAAAGTTTCTGGAATTTTGTGAGTTTCGAAAGTGGCTCGCGGTCGACCGTGAGTTTTCCACGGTCGACCGCCGCACTGTCTTTTCATGTTCCAACGGCTAGTTTTCAGAGCCGTTGTTGAGCTGGTTTTTTAGTCTTTTCTTGGCTTTCTATTGGCTTTGGGGTTTCATATAAATACCTCCTTATACCTTAGTTTTTAGTAGCAATCCAAGAAGTTTTAAACAAGTTTAAGAAAGGTTTAAACAAGAGTTTAAGGTTCTGTTTAAGTTTGTTTTGAGAAGCTTTTAAGTAAGTTGAGAGTTTGTTTTAAGAAATCAATCTCACAAGAGCTTGAGGAGATCATCTATTTGATGTTTGAGCATCCAACTCTTCTCCTTCCACTCTTGATCTATTGAGATGTTTTCTAAACTCAATCTAGCTTTATATTTTATATTGTTTGATTGTCATTTTATTAAGCTAGTGTTCATATTGAGTTTAGTTGATTTTATTTTCTCTTTGTTTACACATACACAATCATTGAGCTTATTGTATTTACATTCATAGTATAATTAGGTTATGGGATTGTGTAACTTAGAGAGTGAGCGTATAATTCGTTCTCATCCATTGTAGAGAATAAACACTTTGTATTGTGCTTATTGTGAGATTCACTTTGTAATACACTTGTACACCGAGATAAGTGTGTGGCGAGAGTCAGGGATCGTCCCAAGAGGAGTGGCGTCTGTTGACGAACCTAGCGAGAGATTGTATCCGAGCACTTAAGGGAGACACGTCTAGTTCAACACTTGAGAGGGTGTAGAGTGGGATTACAAGAGCGTGTTAGTTGTAGAGTTTTCGGTAAACTAGAAAATCGTATTGTGTGGTATAAATGTTATTCGGATAAACGTAGAAAACTCGGTTGTGATAGTGGAGATCTCCTCGAGGTGAGGAGCGGAGACGTAGGTCAAGTGGTTAGACCGAACTCCGTGATCATATCGTTTTGTTTGTGATTGCATTGGCGTTCTTATTCTTGTATTCATATCTTATATCGCCTTTGTGTATTACTCTTCATATTCCCCTATCTCTTTTTTAGATTGTTTACCCTTGTGTTAATTATATATCCTTACATATATCTCATAGTATATCTCATTGCTAGGATATTTACCTTTGTTCATATTGCTCATCCGAGCTCATATATATTGTTGTATTTCATACTTGCTAGGATAACTTGTTAATTAGTTTTAATTAGCATAAAATCAGATTAGATTAGCATAAGACCCTAATCACCCCCCCCCACCCCCTTCTAGGGTCTAACAGTAGTGGGGATTTATAGAAGGTCTGATGATAGAGATGCTAATGAAGTTGATTTATCATTAAGGTTATGAATTTTCGGGCATTATTGGATTCTAGCTAGTTCTCTTGATTAGCTGTCCTCGATCGATTGCCATTAAAAATGGGGGAAATGGTGAGTCGTTTCATTTTTGCTGCATAACTAAGATTACGCGTTGGTTGTTAAGGTTACAGGTTACTTGTTAATGTTACGCGTTGGTTGAGAAGGTTAAGCTTAACAACCAACTCGTAATCTTAACAACAAACACATAACCTTAACAATCAACGCGTAACATTCATAACCAATGTGTAATCTTAACAAGCAAACTCGTAACCTTCACAAGCAACCCATAAAACCTTCATAAAAATAAAAAAAAGGAAGGAAATAGAAAAAAAGCTTTAATTTTTTGGACTTCTACTATAATAATTCATAACTTCATAAAAATAAAAAACAATAACAATTCTACACTTTCCTTCAGAAAATTCATGCCTACAACACCCCATAAAACTGTGCAATGCATGATTACTTTCATTTGACCACTCAACAGTCACTGAGGAGGTGGGCTGCCATGGTTTTGAGACTATTGACCAAGGGTAGAGGAAGAAGACGATGATGTATACGTTTGTTTTAGGTGGTGGGAGTGACCTGGATTTTGTAATAATATTTCACTTTTAATTTTAATGAAATTTTCAAAAGCCAAGCGATTTACGTGTTGGTTATTAATGTTATAGGTTGCTTGTAATGATTACGTGTTGGTTGTTAAGGTTACGTGTTGGTTGTTAAAGTTATACGCATTGGTTGTTAAGGTTATGAGTTGCTTGTTAAAGTTACATGTTGGTTGTTAAGGTTACGAGTTGCTTGTTAAGGTTACGATTGACCTTAACAACCAATGCGTAATCTTAACAACCAATGCGTAACCTTAACAAGCAACACATAACCTTAACAATCAACGCATATAACCTTAACAACCAACGTTTATAACCTTAACAACCAACGCGTAACCTTAACAAGCAACGCGTATAACCTTAACAACCAACACGTAACCTTAACAAACAAGCAACCCGTAACCTTAAAAAACAACTCGTAACCTTAACAACCAATACGTAAATAAAAACACTTGGTTTAAGAGTAAAACCAGGGGTTTGAAGGCAAAAACTTACAATCAAGCAAACACTCTCAAAATTTTTTCTAAACATCTTCATACGTATTACAAATACAATACATTGTCTGCAAGCAGATCCACTGAAACTTCTTCCATCATTGTAGCCTGATTTCTTCAAAAAAATTCCTCAAATAAGTGGTTATCGCATGAACACTCACCCAAACATAAGTGGGGAGTTTCTTCCTCAAATCCACTTCCACACGGACACACGCTGGACTGCCTCTCATCATATGGGCAGTAGCTCGATCGAAGCATAGGTAATCTCATCATCATAAGA